TTTTTTTTTTTTTTTTTTTTTTTTTTCTTTTTGTCTCACTATTTATTTTTTTTTTTTTTTTTTTTTTTTTACTATATTTGTTTACCAAATGTCTCAGTGGCAGTGTAAATTTGGGAGTGAAATTACTGTAAAAATTACATAAGTTCAAAATTCCCTTTATCTCTTTTTGATTCTTATGAGATGTAATGTTCAAAATTTTATATCTATTTAGATCAGTAGGTTTTAACAATGTATGTCCTATTTTGAATCCCAGAAATTCAATTTGTTCCTGAGCTCATCTATATATATAATTCGCCAGCAAAGGTCAAACATCACCACGAAGGCTATATATAGATACGTCAGACTGTGGTTCAATAATGAGTTCACTAGCGCGTAAAATATAATTCCCGATAACAACGCTAAACGATATATATATATATATATATATATATATATATATATTAATAACACAATTGCGTTTGGTGCGTAATATTTTCGGAAATGAAATCGTCTCAATTTAATAAGTGTGTAAAATATATATTCAGTTTAAAAGTGGTTGGGACATGAGAATATTTATATAGTTCATGGGCGTGAAATAAAAAGTGTGCAGTGACGTATCATGGGGGAAGGGGTGTAGCAAATATTGGGATTCTTAAAAGTGCGTTACTTGAGTTCATGTTTTGTCAGATAAGTTTACTAGATGGGAAGTTCACGCCGCCAATGTTTGGCGGGCTCTATCTGCTATATGGGAAGTTCATTCCGCCAATGTTTGGCGGACTCTATAACTAGATGGGAAGTTCACTCCGCCAATGTTTGGCGGGCTCTATCTACTAGATGGGAAGTTCACTCCGCCAATGTTTGGCGGGCTCTATCTACTAGATGGGAAGTTCACTCCGCCAATGTTTGGCGGGCTCTATAACTAGATGGGAAGTTCACTCCGCCAATGTTTGGCGGGCTCTATCTACTAGATGGGAAGTTCACTCCACCAATGTTTGGCGGGCTCTATAACTAGATGGGAAGTTCACTCCGCCAATGTTTGGCGGGCTCTATCTACTAGATGGGAAGTTCACGCCACCAATGTTTGGCGGGCTCTATAACTAGATGGGAAGTTCACTCCGCCAATGTTTGGCGGGCTCTATAACTAGATGGGAAGTTCACTCCGCCAATGTTTGGCGGGCTCTATCTACTAGATGGGAAGTTCACTCCACCAATGTTTGGCGGGCTCTATCTAGTTGGGTTTTATTGTGAGCTGTTTTTTAAAGCGCTTCTTGAGTTAGTGAACGCCTTCCCGTATTTAACTTGCTGACTTATTTCTATGCTCATTATGACGTATTTTCTACAATGTTTTGTGACGTACATGTTTATTCGTGGGCCGTCGTGGAAGGAACGCTGTAGGAGAAAGTTGTATTTTCTTCGTTGGCGTACATGTGTTTGATGAACTATTCAGTCTGTAGATATATTTATTGATTAAAGCTGCATTAAATTATGGGAAATGACTTGTGTTAAATCAGTGTTATTATGTATGAAAGCATCTCATGAAACTGTTGCATCTAGACCTAACCTGGTAAACATATTTTTCATTATCCCTTTTTTAAATGTCGTTGTTGAGAATTCCACATATAGTAACATTAACATGCACATTTTTGTGAACGGGTGTCCCCTTCTTCAACCGTTTTAATGGGAGAATTTGTTCAAATAAAGTTTGTTCGTTACCAAACCTAAAGCTCTGAAAGATAAAGTTCCTTTCTTTCTTATGTGAGCTTTGTAAATAAAAATGCACCTAATGGAAAGACCGAGACGAATTTGACTTGAAAATCTCTCTTAAACAACTGGAGGGTTTCGAACTCAAACTATTCACAGCTTTCCGGGGGTCAGGGAAACTATTGTTATTTTCCTTTACATTTTCAAAACGTTTCGACGGGAAAATTGTTTAAATATTTGTTTGGCTATTTATTTGATAAGTTATAGAGGGCCCCTTTCTTAGTGGTCATCAAAACGTTACACTATAGAACGGGTCATTATTTGAACTTTAATTGAACATTTTAGAGTTAATTAACTCAGTTTAACCTCAAATGACATCCGAATAGCTTGAGTGTAATGGTACCCGGGTGCGAATGGCGGCGCTGCGTGTCTGGGTCCATTTTGACTCAGTTCTTTCCGATGTCGTTTGTGGTAGTTTATTTTAGTTAAACTGAAGAATTAAGTTTACAAACATACAGTCCATTCAATTATCTTTCATTTTATATACCTAATTTTGTCTTAAAAACCCAACAATAAAGTTTTAAATAGTTTTTTTTAATCCAACCTCTCATTTCTGGTACCCGGGTACGAATAGCCACTTCGGTTAAAAATATCACCCCCATTAAACCATCCTGTCCTGAAAAAGCTCATAATGGCCTGAAGTTGAAGTTCCTTCCGAAATAAGATCCCATTCTATGTTGACCATCACATAATCGTTTGTTGATGTTATTAAATTTCTTACAATAAATGGAAGACCTCAGCGAAAAAAACTCGACATGTCACATTTTGAACATTTTGAGAAAAGTGGATTTTAAAGTTTGAAGGTATCCAATAGGCCTATTTTCACATGTAAAAATAAAATGCTATAATTTAGTTTGTATTTAGTGACACCATTTTACTTTCAAAATATATCAGTTACTAAATATTTTGTGACAATTTACTGTATTTTAACAGCTTATTTACCAGGCTGTGTGACTTGTCTGCTTTTTCCACTAAAAATGGAAATTTTAAAATTAAACTATATTTTCTGGCTTTTAAAAGGCCATTACATTACATATCTACTATATCACGAAGTCAACTCAAGTGACCTCTTTTAATAATAAATCCAATTATGGCCGAAAAACCCATTTTTAAAAAAATGATAACATTTTAAAATTTTTAAAAATCTAAAGCAGTGTTCAGGGTGCACGCCATTAATGTTGTACTGGTGGTGCAATGAGTTATTGATAATATAATAAATTATATCAAATTTATACTTTCACAATGTCAACATCATTCATCTTATTATAAATTATAAGTAACAACAGATGACCCTGAGCTGCTGGTATTGAATTGTTGAAATTTAACTTGTGCTACTTTACAGACACCAGCACTAGCGTCAGTCATCGCACCAGCACTAGCGTCAGTCATCGCACCAGCACTAGCGTCAGTCATCGCACCAGCACTAGCGTCAGTCATCGCACCAGCACTAGCGTCAGTCATCGCACCAGCACTGGCGTCAGTCATCGCACCAGCACTGGCATCAGTCATCGCACCAGCACTGGCGTCAGTCATCGCACCAGCACTGGCGTCAGTCATCGCACCAGCACTGGCGTCAGTCATCGAAGCACTAGCGTCAGTCATCGCACCAGTACTAGCGTCAGTCATCGCACCAGTACTGGCGTCAGTCATCGCACCAGCACTGGCGTCAGTCATCGCACCAGCACTGGCGTCAGTCATCGCACCAGCACTAGCGTCAGTCATCGCACCAGCACTAGCGTCAGTCATCGCACCAGCACTAGCGTCAGTCATCGCTCAGTTGACTGTAAATGGGATGGTTTTTATTAAAATAAAATATAGAGAATATGGCCTGCATTTTCAATAACAATGAAAACAGAGATAGCCAGAGTGTGTTTGACAGCTTTTAATCGGGAAGGATCACATGCAATAGCACAAAATGATTTGTTCTAAATCATTGTATTGTTCTCACCACTGGCCGCCGTCCGTCAGTGGTCTGATTCAAAAGATGGCATGATGCAGGAGACGGGCATACTTATTGTTCTGCTTTATTTGCCTTTATTGGGCAATCAT